CACAGTGGCCCGTTGCTTCACACCAGGGCTGGAGGTATCCACAGCTATGTGGTGACTTGCCGGGGCAGTAATCCAGGCAGGTGGGTGGAATTCACACCCAGGCCCAACAGGCCCCTTCTCGTGACCTCAGGCAGCACCTGTCACATTCTACATTATAACACCTATCACAGCTGGCCACCACACCAGTGTAAAACTCTCCCTAGCAAGCACACTGTTGATTGGCAGCAAAGGTCTCCAGAAATGGACAATGACACTTCCCACAGATGCCAGGCCACCCTCTAATCCCAGAGTCAGTTGGTACCTTTAGGACCCAGAGTAAATACAAAATAAACCCAAGGGAGTAAGTGAAAGGCAAGAAGAAACCCCACAGGGCATTACTGGGCCTTCTGTTGCTGCTCTTCCCTGAAAACAACTTTTCCTCTCCCCTGGATACAGAAAAGGAACTCAAGATGGACATCACTCTACATCTGATAATTCTCTACTGTTCACTACAATGACTTCAATACTGTTCAACAGTTAAAAAACACTTACCCTATTCCCATCAGAAAATCCTGAAGAGATTCACTGGCCAGTGAATCCCTGGGATTTTTCCTGGCCCTGCATCCCAGCACTGGAATGACAGACACCTACATTGCTTTTAATGAAAGGGCTGGGGAACCACACTCAGGGCCCCATGCTTAGGCAACAAGCACTTTTTCCACTGAGCCCCGCCCCCCACCACCACCACCACCACCACCACCAGCCTCTGCCTGGTTTCCAGACGGGGTTACTTTGTGCAGCCCTGACTGTTCTGGAACTCCCTCTGTAGATCAGGCTAGCCTTGAATTCACAAAGATCCTCCTTCCTCTGTCTCCCCAGTGCTGTGATTAAAGGCATGAGCCACCACAGCCTATGCCTGGGTCCTTTTTTTTTAGTTTTTCAAGACAGGGTTTCTCTGTATAGCTTTGTGCCTTTCCTGGAACTTGCTTTGAAGACCAGGCTGGGCTCTAACTCACAGAGATCCACCTGTCTCTGCCTCCCCAGTGCTGGGATTCAAGGCGTGCGCCACCACTACCCAGTTAGGGATTTAGCTCAGTTGTAGAGCGCTTGCCTAGCAAGTGCAAGGCCCTGGGTTTGGTCCTCAGTTCTGGAGGAAAAAAAAAGAAAAAGCCTGGGTCCTTCTTACAGTGATGTCTAAAAAATATTTGATGAGGGGTATATGCCCACAGAAGAAATTTAAGTCACCACACAGAAAGCATCACCCATAATTTCAATTCAAAGATAAACACCATTACCTTTTGGCCTGCTTCCCCATGTACATTTCTCATCTGAGTCTTTTAACTGCTTGCTGAAGGCCTACTATGTGTCTAGCACTTTATATGCAAAACTTAGTCCCAACCTCCCCAGTGCTCACACACGCACACAAAAAATAAAGTGATAAGAAAGAAACAGGGGGTTAAAAAAATGGAAGGGTGTGCTGTCAAAGTACACAGGCAGCTTAGGCCTAAGTCCTGAGCCTGTGCCACACTCCACTTTCCTCCGGAGGCAGAGTCCAGTCTCCAACCATTATAACTGACACGGATGAGAATCTACCCCACATCTTTCTCTGGTGCTGAGGATGGGATTCACCTTGTGCTTGCTAAGCGTACCCTTCTAACTGAAATTTACGCCAACTCTCATTTTCACGTTTTATTTAGAGATAGATATCATCTCGTAGTTGCTTTTTTTCACTGTGTGCACATATTGCTTCACTCTCTGGCTCAAAGAAAATGAAATTATTCTACACTGGAGAATACATGCAAAGAGGAACTTACCACTGCTTTTTTCTCTTTATCATTTTCTCTATCTTTATCTAAAAAAGAAAGGAAGTTGATGTTTCAATTATTCACTCTTCTCTGTGCTAATCGGATAAATAATCACCATGCAAACAGTCATTTTTATGCTTGCTTCTTGACTTTAAAAATGTTTACCATTCTCGGGACCCTCTATGGTTGGGTCTTGCATGTGACACTGTCTGATGTCTGCCTGGATCCAGGTCCATTTGTGCATGCTTACTTTCCTTCGCTTGGTATATTCTACTTCGTTTTCACCTGTATTGTGTGCTTAGGATCTTCACAGTGGACATAAAGAATGACCTACACTCAAGAGATTCCAAAGGGCGGCCGGTGGGCTTGGGCTTAGGGCTGGGACGCAGGCCGTCTGTTTTCTAGGCCAAGGCTGGCAACACTGCCAACCCCTGGCAGCAGGCGGAGACCAATGCTCCATTTGGGAAGAGGAGGATCCCCACTGCCAGCAAGAGTAAGAGAAAGTAAGAAGCCTGAACCACTGAGAGCTGGTTAAATGCAGCTTCCGCCCCATTTTCTCCTAAGGGCTTAAGAATCTGACCAGAAAACGGAAAGAGAAGCCGTGCTTGAGCCCCAAGTGCGGGTCCTCACAATTCCTTAGGGCCTCGGAGAAGTCCGGCGACTTGCAGGGGAGGAGGAGGGGACCAGCGCGACCCCTACGAAGTGGCACAAAAGTACGAGTTACCCGGAGGCAAGGCGCGGTGAGATGCCCACAGCGGTCCGGTGCCCGAAATGAGGCTCCCAGGACTTCCGGGGCTTACGCTACGAAGAGATCGGGAAGCCCAGCTACATAGCGGCCGCAGCAGCATAGCCCCAAATTGATGTGCTAGCCCGACTTCCTTCCGGTGGGCTCTGGAGCCCCGCCCCACCCCTCTCCCGGCCCCGCCCCTTAAAGGGTCCTCGAGTATTTCTCCCTCTAGGCCCCACCGAAGAGATTCAAAGTGAGGATTACAGTTTACAGAAGGTAGAACGCACCCCTTATCTAACTAAACTGAGGGAATGGGTGAATAATAATGCCGGGAGCTGATTAGTTCATTAACATATCAGATTATTTCCTTAACTGCCTGCTCCATCCACACCTGGCACACACCTACTCGCGATGTCCTGTATTTTCCTTCTAAAGATTCTGCAGGTAGACATTGTCATCCCCATTTTCCAAGATTGTCCTCGAAGAGTTGGGCTTGCTTAAAAGGGCCCTAGGTTTAATGCCCTTCATCACAAAAAGCAGAGTGAAGGACATAAGGAGGGGGAGCTGGGATGCAAGTCACCGTTTCCAAGCCCACAGTCTTTGACCTTTCCAACATTTGGACTATAATGTTGACCCCTCAGGAAGGCACAGCCAATATCTCCACTGAATGGACAAAAGGGGATAAGAAGAAACCATGTAACCCCCCACTTGTAAGCAAGTAGCAAAAATGAGCTCAGATTAGGCGCATCTGTCCCAGAGCAATAAGCCCAGCTGTTGCCACCTTGACTGTATATGACAGTTGCTACGTGTGGGTAGAGAAGTTTTCTACTTCCTCCAGCTTGCAAGATGCTGGCAGTCATCTTGGACAGAGAGAAGAAAGATATTTTCAGGTTTTGCCTTACTCTTTAGAGATGTCACCAGAAACCATCACCCTAACTGGGCTTCCTGTTTATTTGCTGGGCACCTAGCAAAGGCAACTATAATCTTGAAAAATCAAAGTCAACGTTTTTTGGTTTTTTTTATTTACTTTTTTTTATTTTTTATTTTTTATTTATTTATTTTTTTTTTTTGTGTGTGTGTGTGTGTGTGTGTGTGTGTGTGTGTGTGTGTGACCATGTTGGGGCAAGGTTGCTAGTAACTGCTGCTTAGATTCAACAGAATGAACAGGTCTTAGCTGGGCAGGGTCCAGTGAAGTCTAAATGAACTGGGGTGGTGTGCTGGTTCATTCTTTTCAACTCAACACAAACTAGAAAGTCCTGGGAAGAGGGAGCCTCCACTGAGAAACTGGCTGAATCAGATTGGCCTGTGGGCATGTCTGTGGAGAATCTTCTTGTTGCTCCTTGATGAAGGAAGGACTACCCACTGTGGGCAGTGCTGCCCCTGTGCAGGTGAGCCTGAGGTGTTTATGATGGAGCAAGCCAGAGAAAGGAGGCCAGAAAACACCTTTAGTTCCTCCATGGTCTCTGCTTTGGTTTCTGCCTCCAGGTTCAGCCTTGAATTCCTACTTTGTCTTCCCTTGGCTGTAGCCTGTAAGCCAAATAACCCTCTCTTTCCCCAAGTTGCTTTTGGTCAGTATTTGATTTATCACAGCAACAGAGATACAAACTAGGACAGGCGATGACCTAGTTATACAAGACAAATCACATAAAAGAAGTGACACATACTCCCTGTGTCTAAAAAGAAATGGTCCAAGATGGTGTAGTCCTGGCTACAGTGGAGCATTTTATAAATGGAAGGCTGTTCTAGCTGCCCACAGCTAACAGCAGTGGAAGGCAAAAGTGCTCTAGAGATAGACTGCACATCCTGAGAGCAAGGCCAGACTAGGAGGACCAGGCTGTAAGTTCAGGTTACATAGTCTACAGCTACTGATGAGTACCCTAGCCCCTGGGACCCTGCAAGGAGAGAAGCAGACAGATCCTTGCTTTGTAGAATTTGCATTTTTATTTTAACTGATACATAATTGTACATATTTACAAGGTATCATGTGATGTTTCGTTACATGTGCACATTGTGTAATATTCATATCAGGTTAACTCTGTCTTTTCGGAATTGTTTCTGTGCTGAAAAAAATCAAATTCCTTTCTTGTAGCTTTTAATTTTAAATAAAGCAATGCATTCTCGTTACCCACAGTCAATCAGACTGTCTAACAGAACACCGGAACTTCTTTCTCCTAAGTCTAACTCATTACCAGTGAATCAACGTTTTCCCTCGGGATGTGCTTATAATGTAGAGGAGCTACCAAAAAATGCGGAGGAGTGACTAGCCGCTCTGGACAAGGTGGCCAAGGGAAATCCTAAGGGCAAAGAGGCGGGGCTGCATTTGTGGGTCTTCCTCCCCTTACTCCAAAAAACGCTTCTCTACAGGAAAGCTCCAGGGCAGAGCAGTGGTGGAGCGGCCAGGTGAGGAGCGGCACACCTGCCTGGCTCCAGGTCTGTGCTTTAATGAGTTTGTAGACAAGCGGGCGGGGCGAGAGGGGCGGCCTGCAGTAGTGCGCACGCGCGCCGAGACTTGACGGCCAGAGGTAGTGCTGGCCCAGTGGCGGCAGTTAAGGGATGTGGCGCGAGTCCTGGAGAGAGCAATTAACTGAGAAGTCTTGAAAAGGGAGAGTGACTGTTGGGTCTTTGGGGGGAAAAAATGGAGTCCGAAGAGCAAGACGTAGAACAGCCCTTCTGCTTGAGCGTGAAAGGCCTTGTGAAGATGCTGCGGCTGGTGAGGACCGGGGCGGGTGGTCAGGTTACTCCGGGTGGGTTGGGACGCCAGGGACAGCATTTGCGCGGTCACCTTGTTTCCAGCCACGCCTTTCCAGATGCAAGGCTCTGTTGCTCAGTCCGCTGGGAGAAGAACCGTAGGGTAGAGTGGCTTCCTCTTCAGCCCGTGTAGGGACACACCCATGTGTCTACCTCAATGCCCCTCCTTGGGACTTACAAACTTGGTGGTAACCTGCCAGAGAGGCGGCTGCAGCCTCACGACTGAGAACCCAACAAGCTTTGAAAAAAGAAAAACAAAAGTTGGTGGTCTTTTACTGTAAGTCGGACTTTTGGTGTTACCCAACTCAGCCGATTCAACCCAGAGCAAAGAGGAAACTGCCCTTATTTGGGCTCCAGACATAACAGGGACATTGCAGTCAGTTCCGGACAGAGCTTTGGAGAAAGGAGATTAGAGAAATACAAACTGTCAGGCCCCAAAGAAACCGGGACAGGGTTCACTCCGTACCTGTGGCTCCTCCCAGCACTTCTCACCCGGCCCCCTACCCTAAAAAAATCTCTCCAGCCCAGGGGCTGGGTATTGCTCCCCGCCCCCGCCCTCCCCCTCCACTCCTCTCTCCATATATAAACTGGTCATTTCAGCCGGCTCTCCTGGTCCTCAGCTTCTCTCCTGTACCGCTTGTCCTCTCGCCTCTCTCTCTTCTCTTCCTCTCTCACTCATCATCCCTTTTCTTATGGTCTAGTTCAGTCTGGACTCTTCCGGGTGACTCTGTACTTTCCCTTATATCTACAATAAAGCCTTTCTCCTAAACCATACCTAGGAGGGTCATGTCCTCATTTCATTCACGAACTACCCTAGTTGAAGGAATGTAAGAAAACTGAAAGAGAAAAGGAAATCGTTTAAAAATTCGAGGGGTTAACACGAGATAGTTAAAAATTACAAGGGAAACATTTCCACATAACATGAAGAAGAGTTTTATATTAAAAGGGTGCTAAGCCGGGCGGTGGTGGCGCATGCCTTTAATCCCAGCACTCGGGAGGCAGAGCCAGGCAGATCTCTGTGAGTTCGAGGCCAGCCTGGGCTACCAAGTGAGTTCCAGGAAAGTTGCAAAGCTACACAGAGAAACCCTGTCTTGAAAAACCAAAAAAAGAAAAAAAAAAAAAAGGTGCCAAAATTAAATGGCCACCAGAGAAAGCAGTATTTCCCAGGCAACAGAAAGCACAGATGAACACGGGTGAGGATTTTGTAAAGGAGATTCAAACTTCAGGTGAATGAGTAAAATTAATTGCATATGGAATCTTCCCCATGCCAGAAATCTGTGGTTCTGAGAAATAGCTGTAAGTTATGGTTCAAAGAGACATTTTATTATATTATATACAGTCTGAGGGGCTGGAGAGATGGCTCAGTGCTTTCAGGAAGGTATTGTTCTTACAGAGAACTGGGGTTCAATTCCAGTACCCATGTTGAGTGGCTCACAGCCACCTGTAACTGTAGCTCTAGGGTGTGTGATGCTCTGTTCTGGCCTCCATAGACACTGCACACATGAGGCATACACATCAATATTTAAACAGTGTGACTATTTAATGTGTTCCAACTTCTGGACTAGTAGCTAGAATAAAGAGGACGCAAGACAAAACTGGATTTCCTAATTCACAGAATTCTTCCACTTAGTCACAAAGACAAAAGTCCCTGAATCACAAAACTTGTGTATTAGTCACCAAAAGGTCAACCTCTGGTGGTGTTCTTCAGGAGCCACCCACCTTGGTTTTTGAGACAGGGTCTCTCACTGATCTTGGGCTAGCCAGTTAGGTTAGGCTGGCTGACCAGCAAGCACCAGAGGCTTGCTGTCTCCACCTACCCCGTGCTAGGATTACAGGCAGATTACAGGTGTATTCTACCATGTCCAGCGTTGTTTTTAAATGTGTGTTGTACAACAAGTACTTGACTGACTGAGCCATGTCACCAACTACCAGAACAAAAGTTCTTTCTTCTTCCTCCTCCTCCTCCCCTTTGTCCTCCCCCTCCTCCTCCTCTTCTTCTCTTTAGTTTTTCGAGACAGGGTTTCTCTGTGCAGCCCTGGCTGACCTGGAACTCACTCTGTAGACCAGGCTGGCCTCGAACTCAGAGATCTGCCTGCCTCTACATTCCAAGGGCTGGGATTAAAAGCCTATGCCAGGCTCAGAACAAAAGTTCTTGACTATGAGTCATGCTTCCATTTAGTCCAGGACACAAACACAGGAGTAAATGGTTATAACATGTGATAGGGTGAAGGTAGGGCACTGTATTAGTCAGGGTTCTCTAGAGTCTCAGAACTTTTATGGAATAAATGCATATATATAAATATATGTGTGTGTATGTGTATAAAATGTATATATATATGTATGTATGTGTATATATATACATATATATGTGAATTTATTGGAATGACTTATAGGCTGCAACCCAACAGTGGGTAGTTGTGAATGGAATGTCCAAGAATCTAGTAGCTACTCAGTCCCATGAGGCTGGGTATCTCTGTTGGTCTGTTGGATGTGCTGACAAGGTGAGGGCAGGCAGGCGAAGAACAAACCCTGCCTTCTTCCATTGTCCTTATATAGGCTTCCAGAAGAAGGTGTGGCCCAGATTAAAGTGTGCCTTCCAGCCTCAAGATCTGGATTAAAAGCATGTTGTCTTCTTGCCTCAAGATCCAGATCACAAGTGTGCCCTCCGTTTCTGAATTATAGTTCATTCCAGATGTAGTCAAATTGACAACCAAAAATAGCTGACACGGGCACAGAAGTGAGGCATCTAACCAGAAGGTAGCAAGTTTAAAACCTTCAAGAAGAGCCTAGAGTTCTTAAGAGAGAGGCTTAAGAGAGAGGCCCCTAAATGAAGGAATGGTGACAAGAAGATCTTCAGGATCTTAGTAGTAAACAATAAGTTGAATGGTGCTTCATGTATTCATTAATAAATATTTACTGAACACCTGCCTATATGTGTTGTGGAATTTATATGTTGGGATGGGAGGGAGGCAGAGTCAAGTCCAACATGTTATGTAGCATCCCAAGAATAAATGCTATGGGACGTATCAGGGGCGGAGAAGTTTGATGAAGGTTGCAGATTAGAGTTGTAGGGTGATCAAGTTGGGCTTTGCCGAGATGGTATTTGTCAGAGTTAAGTGAGATAAAGCAGTTAGTAATGAGCATATGTTGTGAAGAGGGAAATCCAGTAATGGTTCTATGGCAGGGTCAAGACAGAGCAAGGAGCCAGCAGTCATGAACTTGAGTAAGCAAGGGGGAATGCCGCGGTTAGGAAAGCTGGTGGTCGCAGAGGAGGTAGCAAATTTATATTTGGGATCTGCTTAAGACCAGAACTTGTTTTATCATCAGTACACCAGCTGCACCTGAATCTACTGCTGGTTTCAGCTACAGACTGTGGTTCCTCAATCACACTGCTCTGCTGCTCAGGCCCAGGCCTGGCTGGACTTCTTTACCCTGCCGGAACTGTGTCTGCCTCCAAATGTAGTTTTTAACTAAGTCTCTATCATTCTATTTTACCAATAAAGACTCGGGAGTCAGATACTAGGGTGAAAACCCCCTAGCTCAGAGAGGCCAAGAAGCAACCAGCAGACCTTCCTCCTTAACCAGCAATCCAGCAAGAGAGCTTCCCTTCCACCAAAAAGACCACCAAACTCAAAAGTTCCTCCTCACTACTTCCTGTGCATTTCTCTATCCATTTTCCGGATTCCCTCTAACTCTCTATGGCTACTTCCTGTCAACTAGTTGCTGGCTCTGCCTCTTGACCCAAGGGCAATAATTGATTTTATTTAATTAGTGAAATATGGGGGTTCACAATGTGATCAAATATCTTGCAACAAGAACTGTCTTGGATTTTGGAGTATCTATGTGTATGTAATGAGGTATCTTGGAGATGGAACCCAAATCTAAACACTGAATTCATTTTTATGTTTTATGTGTACCTTTTACACATAGACTGTGGGGTAGTAGACAATGTTTTTAGTGATTTCATACAGGAAAAAAAAGTTTGTGTACATTGAACCACCTGAGGTCAGGTGTCATGTACAGCATCCAAAATTTGGATTTTGACCAGGCGTGGTGGTACATGCCTTTAATCTCAATATTTGGGAGGCAGAAGCAAGCAGATCTTTGTCAGTTTAAGGCCAGCCTGGTCTACAGAGGGAGTTCTAGGCTAGCCAGGGTAATGCAGTCAGACCCTGTCGTCATCACTCAACCAACTCTCCCCCCCCCCAAAAAAAATCGGATTTGGGAGCATTTTGGACTTTCAGGTCAGAGTTGCTCAAGATTTGCTAATGGCCCCAGATATGGGGTAAGAGAAAGAGAGGGGTCCAATGTTACCCAGTTTGGGGTCTATACAAGTGAAAGAGTGGACTTGCTGTCCACTGGTGTCAGAAAGCCTGCAGGAGAAGCAAGTGTGGGCAGAGGACCAGAAATTCAGCTTTGAGTTCAGTATTAGATTAGAGATATCTGTAAGACTGGTGAAGCAGAATTGAATGGGGAAGTCGGACCTGAAGAGATCTGGATTTTGGTGGAGAGATAGACGTGTTTGAAGTCGAGTGGCAAATGAGGTCATCAAGAAAGAAGTGTAGATAAGACAGATAAGAGGATGAATGAAATCTGAGAGTGAGGAAGAGAGAACAGAATTAGCAAAGAATGGGAAGGAGCCATTTGGGATGGAGAACAAGTCAAGTGCACAGTGTCCTGGAAGCTGACTGAAGAAACTTGAGGGCGTGATCAGCTGCATCGAACACCAGGGACACCTGAGGTCAATGAGGATTGAAGAGTGGTCCCCGGAATTTTCATGTATAAACTGAGAGGTTCATTTTTGCCAGAGAAGTAGATGGTAGCTTACTCCTAGATCTTGGACACATGGTGAGAGGGGAACTCAACTGTAGAGAATGCAGATTTGAAGGATTTTTAAATAGATGAGGAAGTGCAGGACCAAATTTACATTTTAGAAGTTTGTGTTATGATAGTTGATGGAAAAGACACAAGCATTTACATTGGACATGTCATTTAATCAGTTTTGACACAGACCTGTGAAACTATCACCATAATCAGGATAATTAATACAGCCACACATGGCACACCTTGTTAGGTGTGGGTTATTTGCTTGTACAGCGGTGGTCCCATGAGATTATGTCACCTGGTGGTATCAGAGCCATCTTAGTATCTGTATTTTATGATAATTTGCACAGGAAAATGACTCAGTAATGTACTTCTCAGAGTATGTCTGGTTAAGTGGCACATATTGACACCTAAAACCCCTAAAATGTCCCTCATGGCCCTGGTAATTGCTTCTTTTCACCTAATCTAGTCCCAGGGGTCAACTCGTCTGCTTTCTGTAACTATGTTTTCTATAAAGTATAGTTCTGTTTTCTGCAACTATAGCTTTTGCTGTAACTGAAGATAAGCTTTCACTTCCTAGAATTTTCTATAAATAAAATATAGTGTATACTCATTTTGTCATCTTTCATTCATCATAATTATTCATATGTCAATAGTATATTCATATTAATTCTTCCTTCTTTTTGCTGGTAATACTTTATTATATGGATGGGTAGACCTGTCTCTCCCTGACACCCCCTCCCTCATGTGTGTGTGTGGGCGGGGGATGCTGGAGATTAACAAAGGCCTTCACATATGCTATGTTAGTGACTTCACACCTCTCATTGAGTTATATCCCAGCTCTGATAAAGTGTTCTTTATCCATTCACTAATTGGCATCATTTAGGTTGTTTCCAGTCTTTAGCTATCCCTTCATTCTGATGGCATTATATTTAGTAAGACAAAGTATATAAAAATGTACATTGAGTAGTAACTCTTAAACATCAGATTTATTTTTCCTCTGACAGTATGTTTAAACCCACCTCCTCCACTCCCACCTCCCCTTCACCTTTGCCCTCATGGCAACATTCAACTCAAATTTAATAGTATATTACAAATTACTAATAGTTAAGAATGATGAGGGATTGAATGATGAGGAATTCTCGGCAGTCAGAATGTAGACCTTTTTGAGAAGTAACATGAAGCAGGGGAGGAAAAAAAGAAGGGTTTTTCTGGAGAAGATGAAAGGGCTGTGTGTGTGGTGGGGAGAGGGTGTCTTAAGAGAAGACAGCTTAGGTGTGCTTAAAGGAAAGAGCTGGCAGCGGAGACACTTGGAGTGAAAAGATCGTAAGAACAGATGTGGGAAATGACAAGTACTTACTCCTCTAAAACACAAACAGAAGTCAATGCCCACATGCTTAGTCATACCTCTAATGTCCACAGTGTCTTACAGAAATCTTTCTTACTTATTTTTCGGCATCATTTTGGAGCTAGGGATGTATGTAACTCAATGGTATAGCACTCACATACATGAGACCCTGGATTCAATCCCTAGTACCACACATGCACACATACACCCTGCAGTAAGTAAACCAATTGTTTCTATAGCTTAAACATGTATGATCAGTGACTAAATCATTGTTTTCTTCTTCTAGGCAGTAAATGTGGCATCCATGACCTTTTTCATCATCGCACAAGCCCCTGAACCATACATCGTTATCACTGGATTTGAACTCACCATTATTTTCTTTTTCATAGCTTTGTATCTATGCAGACTTGACAAAGTGATGAGATGGTTGTTTTGGCCTTTGCTTGTAAGTGATCACTTTCAACCTTAAACTCTTTCCTGCCATAGGAAGACACTGTAATCAACTACTTGGTTCTCTTAAATCTTTAAGGTGATCTCTGCTCACTGCTAAGGGCTCCATGTTGTCCTTGGGGAAGGCTGTCAGGGATCTAGGGCAGCCACAGGACATAAATTCTCTTTACTGCACCTACCAGTAGGTATGGCTGACCTTTTTGTTTGGAGAATTCTCTTAAGTATAAGTGTTCTAAAGAAATTCAAATTTAGAACCATGTTAATAAATTAGAGCATATTCTTAACTTTTGCCTTTTTTCTTTTATTAAAAATAGATTCTTTTCTCATACACTATATCCTGATAATAGTTTCCCCTCCTTCTACTCCTCCCAGTTCATCCTCACCTCCTCTCCCCTCCAGAACCACTATCTTTCTGTGTCTCATTAGAAAAGAACAGGCTTCTAAAAGGTAACCAAACATGACAAAATAAAACATATTAAAATGAAGCAAAATCTATTATATCAAAGTTGAACATGGCAACCCAATGGGAAGAAAAGAGTCTCAAGAGCAGGTACAACAGTCAGAAACCCACTCATTCTCATAGTCAAGAATCCCATAAAAAATATTAATCTAACAGTTATAATATATGTGCAGAGGACCTGGTGCAGACCCATGTAGGCCCTGTGCTTGCTGTTTCAGTCTTTGAGTTCATATGCACCTTGCTTAGCTGATTCAGAGGGCCTTGTTCTCCTAGTGTCCTCCATCCCCTCTGGCTCTTAAAATCTTTCTGCCTCCTCTCCTTTGGGATTGTCTAAGGAGAAGGATTTGATGGAGACCTCCCATTTAGATTCTCTATCTGCATAATGTCTGGCCATGGGTCCCTGCATCTGTTTCTATCTGCTCCCAGAGGAAGCCACCTCTCTATGATGACTAGATAAGACATTAGTTTGTTGCTGTTGTTCTTATTTTTGTTGTTTTGGTTTTTTTTTTAAGGGTAGTGTTTGTTAGAGACCCTAGGTCTCTGGGCTATCTAGTCTCAGGTTCTTGGTTACCCAAGCACTGTGGGGTATGGGTTCCTTCTCGTGGAGTGGGCATTAAGTCAAATCAGACACTGGTTGGCTACTTCCACATGGTCTATGCCACCATTGCCCTAGCATATTTCACAGGCAGGACAGATTGTAGATCAAAAGGTTTTGTAGGTGAGTTAGTGTCACATTCCTCTTTCAGTAGCCTGCAGAGTACCTTCCCATACCAAAGAGACTAGAACATAGGGGCAAAGGCACCATCTCTACTTATCCATAGACCCCTCCTCTTTGCTCAACCTCTGTGGGTCTACAGATTGTAGCTTGATTATCATTTATTTAATGGCTAATATCCACTTTTGAGTGAATACATAACACATTTATCTTTCTAGGTCTGGGTTACCTCACTCAGGATTTTTTTTCTAGTTCCATCTATTTGCCTGCAAATTTCATGATGTCATTTTTTTTAATGGCTGAATAATACTCCATTGTGTAAATGTACCACATTTTCTTTATCCATTCTTCTGTTGAGGGACATCTAGGTTGTTTCCAGTTTCTGACTATTATGATAAAACAACAATGAACATGATTGAGTAAGTGTCCTTGTGGTAGGATGGAATGTCCTTTGGGTATATGCACAGGAGTGTTATAGCTGGATCTTGAAGTAGATTGATTCCCAATTTTCTGAGGAACTGCCATATTGATTTCCAAAGTGGATCTACAAGTTTACACTCCTACCAGCAATAGAGGAGGGTTCCCCTTGCTCCAGCGTGAGCTGTCACTTGTGTTTTTGATCTTAGCCATTCTAACAGGTGTAAGGTGGACTCTCAAAGTAGCTTTGATTTGCATTTCCCTGAGAGCTAAGGTTGTTAAACATTTCTTTAAGTGTTTCTCAGCAATTTGAGATTCCTCTATTGAGAATTCTCTGTTTAGATCTGTTCCCCATTCTTTAATTGGATTGTTTGGGTTTTTTTTTTGATACCTAATTTCTTGAGTTCTTTATATATTTTGGATATTGGTCCTCTATCAGAAGTAGAGTTGGTAAAATTATTTTCATGTTCTGTAAGCTGTTGCTTTGTCTAATTAATGGTGTCCTTTGCCTTACAGAAGCTTTTCAGTTTCATGAAGTCTCATTTGGTGGTGGTGGTGGTGGTGGTGGTGGTGGTGGTGGTGGTGGTGGTGGTGGTGGTAGTTGAGACAGGCTTTCTCTGTGTAACAGCCCTGACTGTCCTGGAACTAACTCTGTAGACCAGGCTAGCCTCAAACTCACAGAGATCTACCTTAATTGTTGATCTTAGTGCCTGCAGTATCCGTGTTCTGTTCTGAAAGTTGTGTCCTGTGCCAATGTGTTCAAGGCTATTCCCCACTTTCTCTTCTATCAGGTTCAGGATATCTGGTTTTATGTTGAGGTCTTTGATCTACTTGGACTTGAGTTTTGTACAGGGTGGTTTGCATTCTTCCACATACCTACATCCAGTTTGACCAGCACCATTTGTTCCAATGCTCTTTTCTCCAGTGTTATTTCTGGCTTCTTTATGAAAAAATCAGGTGTCCATAGGTGTGTGGTTTTATGTCTGGGTCCTCACTTCAATTGATCAACATGCCTATTTTTATGCCAATACCATGTGATTTTTATTACTATAGCTCTGTAGTACAACTTGATATCAGGGATGATGATACCTCTAGACGTTCTTTTATTGTTCAGGATTGTTTTTAGCTATCTTGGGTTTTTTGTTTTTCCATATGAGGTTGAGCTTTGTCCTTTCTAGGTCTGTGAAGAATTGTGTTGGAATTTTGATGAGAATTATATTGAATCTGTAGATTGCTTTTGGTAAGATGGCCATTTTTACTATGTTAATCCTACTGATCCATGGACATGGGAAATCTTTCCATCTTCTGATATCTTCTTTAATTTCTGTCTTTAAAGACTTGAAGATTTTATCATACAATTCTTTCACTTGCTTGGTGAGAGTTGCCCCCAAGATATTTTATATTATTTGAGGCTATTGTGAAAGGTGTTGTTTCCCTGATTTCTCTCTCAGTCCATTTGTCATTTGTATATAGGAGGGCTGCTGTTTTGTTTTGTTTTGTTTTTCAAAGTTAATCTTTCATCCACTTTGCTAAAAGTGTCTATCAGCTAGCTATAGGAGTTGCCTAATAGAAGTTTTAAGGTCACTTATGTATACTGTCATATCATCTGTAAATAAATAACTATACTTCAATTTCTTCCCTTCCAATTTGTATCCCTTGATCTGTTTCAGTTGTCTTATTGCTTTAGCTAAAACTTCAGGTACTATATTGAATAGATATGGAGTGAACAACCTTGTCTTGTTCCTGATTTTAATGGAATTGCTTTGAGTTTTCTCCATTTATGATGTTTTACCTCATTTTTAAATGCATGTGGGTATAGTTTCAGAATTGGGAGACAGAGACAAGCAGGTACAACAAGGAACTATCCTTGCCTATCCCTCATCACAAAATTGAAAGTCAAACTATTTAAGAACATTCAATAAAATACAGTTTGATCATTCTTGAAAATTCTGTAGTCATTTGTGATAATTCCAACTGATCTTACCGAGCCATATTTTGTAACATTGAACCTCAACTGCCAGACTCATAGTATTAGAAATGTTTGTCTACTCAAGTGCTCCAGTGGCTACCAGAGCTGTCACAAGTAGACAAATGGAAATTATTAGTTGACGTCTATATGGCCCTTTGGCCAGGCACCACAAAGCTAGTTCTAGCAACCTTCACCTCTTTCTTTTCTCTGAAGCCACATCCCAGCATCCTGTCTCTGGGGGTATCCTCTGTGCCCCCAACTCCCCTTCACTCCTTTGTCTAGACAGGGGGCTGCCGCCTCCTCCTCTGCTGCACTTGTCATGTCTTCTTGGATTCTGAAATGCTTATATCCAAGCTGCTAACCACTATTAAGGGGAGAGAACTTCAGAGCTGTTCCTAAACCAGAAACATGCTTTTAAGTGGTACCTTCTGGAACCATCTTTGGAGGCAAGTGATGAGCATTTCAGGCTGGAGGTGTGTGTGTCAGTTGGTAGAGTGCTTGCCAAGCATAAACAAAGCCCTGGATTTGATCCTCTGCATAATAGAACCTAGGTATATTAGCATACACCTATAATCAACATCTCAGAAGGTGGCGGCAGGAAGATCAGAAGTTAAAGGTCATTCTTGGCTACACAGAGAGTTAGAGACCAGCCCTATCTCAAAATAATAATAACATAATAAAAATTAAAAATAACCCCCAAACTGGAAGTGGTTCTCAGAGGCCATTTAATCTGTTATCATCAGTCATAAAAATGATGGAGACATGGAGTAAGGTTATAACTATAGGTAGAGAGAAGGGAGTTCTCTAATGGGGTTCCTAGTACTAGTGACTAGATGCAACATCTGCTTTCTATATAACTATCACCATTGATGTCCTATAGGGGATTGTTCCCATGGCCTCTTGCATGCTAGGCAAATACTGTACTGCTGAGCTCTATCTCCTTTGACTTTTTATTTTCACACAAGGTCTCACTAATGTTGCCCAAACTAGCCTTGAACTCACCCTATAGCCCAGACTGGCCTTCAACTTTCACTCTTCCTGCCTCAGCCTCCCAAGCATAAATACCCGCCTTGGGAGAATGCCGAGGTAGGAGAACAGGCTAAGAAATGGGGCGATGGATTAAAGAGTTAAGCGGCCAGATTTTCGGATCTCCCGAGGAGTGGGGGGCTATTAATGACACCTGCAGCGTAGGAGGAGAAGCTAGAGCATCCATTGGGAGTCAGTACCGGGTGCTGGCAACTGAGCTCAGAGAGAATATAGGGAGTGGAGACAAGTGGCCAGGAAAAGGCAGGGGAGGACCCAAGGGGGGCCAGTGTCACAGACACCAGACAGGAGAGCATGTCAGGAAGAAAGGAACAGTGAATGATGTCGTGTAGACGGAAAGAAAAGTATTGAAATATGTAACCCCATTCCCTAGCAGCTGTGCTCATAGAAGGGCCCGGTGGGCTTTCTCCAGAGTGGCTTGCCATGAGTGACAGGTAATAATAGGAAGGTTGTGAGGCCAAGCAGGAAAGGAGAGGCAGCTAACAATGGGGAGGCCACCACAGGCCTAATTTCCTATTTCCTGAGGAAATCCAAGGGACAAAGGTGGTAGTAATGGGGCCTCTACAGGGTGGAGCGATAGAGCGGCCAGAGGCTTCGCTACAATTAAAGTGAAGAAGACAGCGTCTGAGGACGACAGCTACTCCGTAAGGAGCAGAAGGGGTGATAAACACGGATAGCCTATAGCCAGTGCTCCCTCACTAGAAGATCCTGGTCGCCTGTCTGCCCTCAGACCCGCCATCTGTATCCATTCCTGACACAATCTGCAGACCAGGTCTCTGTCCCTCTCTAGCACTCCTTGACAGATTATGAATGAAGGAGCAAACCCAGGGCTCTGAGGGTCAAAATTACTATGAAATCTCCATTTTTTGTAATTACATTTGCATTCCATTTAACAGCATATTGAAGGTTTGGGGTTTTATGTTTTTGTTTTGTGGCAGGGTCTCAGTAGCCCTGGCAGTGCTAGAACTCACTGTATAGACCATGCTGCCTCAAACTCAGAAATCTCTTCCTGTCTCTGCCTCCCGAGTGCTGCGATTAAAGGCCTATGCCACCATGCCTGGCTGCATATTGAGCTTTCAATATGAAGACTGTTTTAAGTTGGGTGTGATGGCTCACACATATGATCTTAGCATGCAGAAGACAGGAGGTCTTTGAATTAGAGATCAGTCTGGGCTACATGATGAGTACCACACCAGCTTGGGCTATAGCCTGAAAATAAACAAACACAATGTTCTAAATTCCCACTAGGGAGCATAGATATTCTGAGATAAGCATGCCTTCCTCCTCCATGGTTCTACACACTCCCTAGAACACCACTTTTGTACAAAGCTATTTATAGCCTAATCCATAGCTGTTTACAGCTGCCTGACTGAGGTAGTGGGGCCTGATGCCTTGAAGCAGAGCAAAATATCCAGACAAAGGGGAGTTAACCCAAGACAGCCAACTCATTGTCTCCTGCAACTTTGTCTTCCTTCCTTAGAGTCAAACCTCTTTTTCTTTCCTTAACTTCTTTTCTTTTGGAATCTAGCATTTCTTCATTAATTTCTTCCTGCCTAATTATTGCAAGAGTACCATTCCATGATAAGGACAATTTATCCTTTTCCACAATACACATCCATCTAAAAATATAAATTACTCTTGTTAAAATATTTCAATTAGGGGAAATTATTAAATGAAATAACATAGTTTGGCAAGCCACTGCATTACAAATGTGGGTGGGGTTCATTCTGGAAATTACCATTCTAAATATAAGCTGTTTTCAGTTTTGGAGGGTTGTGTTTTTTATAGGGTCATACTATGTGGCCCTGGCTGGCCTAGAACTCCGTGTAGAACAGGCTAACCTCAAAACTCCTGAGTGCTGGAATTAAAGGCATGACCCACCATGCCTGGCTTCAGTTTTATTAATTTCATTTTAGTAACAGTTATTTGATAGCCGATTATTCCACATTTCCTATTAAAAAAGAAGCATTCCAGCTTCATAGGAGACCCTCTGTACTCCAAATCTTCAGCATAATTATCTGCTTTTCCAAACCAGATGAGTTCTCCCTCTAGTTATATCTATGTTAAGTGAATATATATATGCTTAAATAATTAGATGATTGATATGATATACGAGACCCACTAGGTATGTTGTAGAGCAAATATATAGGCATTATTTTACTGTAGCATTTTAGTTTCTGAAAAGACAGCGATGTGTGCTACATCAAATAAAATGCAGCTTTAAAAATTTTTAGGGATCTGCCCTCATATTTTTTTAGCAGTACTTCTTGGTCTTGTCTCCCCCAACCTCAAGATGCTAGTCATGGAAGAAGCCAGGACCTAGAGCCATGCTAGATCTGAGCTGTATTCCCAGCTTGGTGGTCTTTGATAGCAAGCTGACTTTTCTATTCTGTGTTTTTAGGATATTACCAACTCAATGGTAGCAACATTATTCATGCTTGTTGTGTCTGTGTTGGCATTGATACCAAAACCTTCAACAATGACAATCCTTGGAGGCGTAAGTAGTTGTGTGTGTGTGTGTGTGTGTGTGTGTGTGTGTGTGTGTGTGTGTGTGTGTTAGGGGGCGGCATCTTTCAAGTTTCTTCAGGTTTGATC